GAGAAGAGGAGGATATCGTGGGTGAAATGGGAAGATATTTGTGGTAGAAAGGTGAATGGAGGACTAGGAGTTCCTGATTTGCATCGTAGAAATTGGGCTTTGTTAGGAAAATGGTGGTATAGGCTAGGGGATGGAAAGGAGGGGTTATGGAAAAGGGTAGTGAAAGAGAAATATTACGGTGGTGGGCAGGAGGGCAATATTACAGATGTGGAGAAGATTCGAGTGTCAAAGATTTGGGGGGACATCCTTAGTATAGGCGGGAAATCCAATACTTTAAAAAATATGCTGGTGAAGGGGTTTAAATGGGAGGTAGGAGATGGTAGTAGGGTGGGTTTCTGGAGGCAAATCTGGGTGGGGAATAATTCTTTAAGAGATTCTTTCCCTCGGCTTTTTCAATTAGCCTCTAACAAGGAGTGTATGGTTCAGGAGTATGGGTGTTGGGAAGGGGATAGTTGGTGATGGGAAATAGAGTGGCGAAGAAGTAGGATGGGCCGGGAGCAAGATGAGGAAAAGGAGTTGTGGAAGGTATTGGGTAGTATACAACTTAGGAAATCTGTAGGTGACAATTGGAAGTGGAGATATGAGGCGGAGGGTAGGTATATAGTGAAGAAAGCTTATGAATTATTAGCTCCTGTGGAATGCTTGTTGGACAGCCAGCTGTGTAAATTGATTTGGTGCAGGTTGGTGCCATCTAAAGTGAGCTTTTTTGGGTGGAGGTTGTGCTTAGATAGACTCCCAACTAGAGGGAATTTACAGAAAAGAGGTGTGAACTTTCAGGAGGACAATATATTGTGTGGATTCTGTAAGAAAGGGGTAGAGGAGGTAGATCACTTATTTTGCACGTGCATGGAAGCTTGGGGAGTTTGGGTCAAGACGATCAAGTGGTGGGGGATGGAGGTGGTGATGCCGGACACAGTGAAGGGCGTGGCTGAGATGTTCATAAACGGTATAGGCAGTTTGGTAGGAAAAGAGATGGGAGCCTGCATTTTTCTCGTTACTGCTTGGTATTTGTGGTATAGGAGAAATGTTTTGGTATTTCAGAGGGAAGAGGTCATTAAGGAGCAATTGTTGGAGTTAATTCAAGTTAAGACTCACTTTTGGATAAGAAATAAGGTGGCTGGATGCGCTTTTTCATTGGTCCAATGGCAAAGTAACCCGAGGGAATGTGCAAGGGAGCTGAAGTAGTACAAGAAATCCTTGAAGAAGTTTAATCAGCAACAAAAATGTCTTCAGTCCTTAAGTTGAAGTCTGTTCTTTACTGATTACTCTTGTTCTTTTGGGGATTTTCATATTGTTGAGATCCTGCAGTGTCTTTTTTAACATGCAGGGAGTTGGTTTCCCTCTTTTGTAAAAGGGGTAGGAGTATCTCTTATACTCCAGTATTTTAAATAAAATAAATTCTTTGCTGATCAAAAAAAAAAAAAAAAAGTTATTGAACAGGTGCACTCTCCTCTCCTGAATGGGTTTTGATTCCCACCCCATGTCAAAATATTCAAAAAAGAAAAAAAAAAGAAAAAAAAGAGAAGGCAATGCATTATGGAGAGAAATATAATGATAGAATGTAAGAGGTGCTAAAAGAAAGAGTTCTAAGAAAAATAATGATAGGAGTGGAGTAAAGACAATTAAAAATATTAGGAAAATAATGTTCAGAAATTGTGTCTTTTATATTTTGACATAAAATTTTTTAATAAAAATATGTTAAAATAAAAATTAAAGGTAAAAAAAAAAAGATATTTGATATTAAACTGAGACACAAAAAATGTCTAAGAAAAAATAATAAAAATGAGAATATAATAATGAAATGATATTAAATAAGAAGGGAAACTGAGAAATGAAGTCTCAACAAAAATTGATAAAAAGTGGACTAAAGATAAGTGAAAAATTAAATATTAAGAGAATAATGCTAATAAATCATGACTTTTATATTTTCACTTGAAGACAGTTTTTAATATACATAAAGAGAAAGGAAGACAAATTTGGTTGAAAAAGATACATACACATGAATGATTAAGAAAAAACAATAGAGAGATGAGAAGATAAGGGATAAAGAATAATAAAAATAAATTACAAATATAGAGATGGATTTGTGAAGATAAAATGAGAGAATAAAAATAAAATAGTTAAAAAAATAATAGTAGTGCAAAATAATGTAAAAAAATAAATTTAAGAAAGAAAAAATGAGGAGAAATACATGCATTAAATTAAGCTTGA